CGCCGCCGCGTGCCATCTTGGGTGGCTTGAAATGTGCACAAACCGATAACAAAGCTTCTCAAATCGTCGAACCTTGAACGCCTTGAACCGCTTGAAGTTGAACTAGGCCTGATGAGTCCACCATCAGCCAGCTGCACCGGCCATTGCACCGGCATCAGCGCGACACGATCGAGTGGATGGGTGAATAATAAAATGATAAGTTCTCTTTTTGCAATGGGAGGTAGCTCGCGCCACCTGGCGGACAACTATCACCGCGCAGGGAATCTAGTCAGATTTTCGGGGATTAGGGCGAACATGAATATATTTTAATTAAAGCACCCGTCACTTCTCTTTTATGCAAGAGAGTCGCCAGTTTTCGTGTTCACCCTACGCAGTCGGTGTACAGGGTCGTGGGTATGCATAAACAAGTAATGGCGGAACTGGCGGAACTTGCTGGGACGAGATCACTTCCGGTTCACCTGCTTCATCTGTATGTTTGCTCGGTGAGCAGGGATGAGCAGCGCGCCTTTTTTTTTTTTTTTTTTTTTAGTTTTTCTTGTTGGAAAATCGGAAAAGGTATGTCGAAGACCGGACAATTGACCTTGGACCGGACCTAAGATAGATCGGTGTATGTTTCTGGACCTTACGGAGCCAAGAAGAAGCACCGCATCTCGTTTTATTTGGCCTCCGTAGCCAAAGTTACGTAACCCTATGTGACGGGTCAGTGGAAATCTGTGTACACGTGAGACATTCAATGAAGTTAGACGCCCACAAATCAACCGAGGCATCGGCATGTGATTGTTTTGTGTTTTTCGTGCACGGGAGAGCGTGTGTGAGAACTGCATCGCATCGTCAACTGCGCGGCGTCGCGGTGAGTGTTCGAGCTGGGCAAAGCGAGACTACGCTACGCCTGTCGGACGTAGTTGAAGGAAGGTGCGCAGGATTGTGCAACTGGTGCTCGATCGTGCCGTGGAAGAAGCAAGCGGTGCGTTTTCGACGACGTGTAGAGATATCGTGATCGGGACAAAGCCGTCGCACTGTGTATAGTACGATTGTGCCGTTCGTTCCCCTCAAAAAGCTAGCGGCGTGTTTTCGACGACGAGTGGAGGTCTCGTGATTGTGACAACGTCGTCCTACCACGGCGGGAAGTGCGATTCGTTCGATAAAGTTCTTTCGTTGTCTCGAAGAGTCGGATATGTGTTTTCCTCCATTTTTTCACCCAATATTTTTAACCATGGCTTAGTTAAAAGAGCTTTTTTTTTTTTTGTTGTTGTTTTTTGCTTTGCACGCGCTGCCATTAGCCCAATGTGCTTCTTTTGTAGCCATTTGACGACGTCCTTACTGCTACCAGTCACCTTGAGGTTTCCTCAGGTGGAGAGAGACCCGACTTCTGACCGTGATTTCACCCAATATTTTGTGACTGTAGCTTATATAATTTGGTTTTTAAGTGATAGAACTTTTCTGTTATATTTGATATAGCAATACTGCCAGCCAGGTTTTGGTTATGAAATACATGTGCTTATTGTGTGTTTGTTTTCAGGTTTTCTGGTTTTATCTTGGCCAGAAATCTGTGACTAAAGAAAAGCTGTTGTTATGAAGAATTTTGTAATTGGCAAAAGAATACCAGAGAAAGCTTTTTTTCATATTCTGGTTCATTTTTGTTGTCTACAACAAGTCCAGAATTCACTGCTGTGTTAAAGGCACTGTCATTTTTTAATGTTTTCGCATTTTGTACATATAATTTGTGTTCAAATAATAAAATATAATTTTTATCCAAATTTTCTGAGCCAATTTTATAGTATGGAACGCGCCACGGCCTGGATTCCTCAAGTGTTAATTCCTTCTCCCAGTCTTACCTGGCCTGGGCAAACATGTAGCCACCTACATGTGACCAGACTTAATATTTGCAGAACAAGCGGAAGTCATTGCTTACCAAGCCTGTGGCTTGTAAACTGTATTGTAATGGGCAATGTAGTGCCAGAGAGGATTGGTGGTCCTGAATAAAAGCAGCACTCCGCATACCCATGTTCTATGGGACACTTTTTTTCTTTTGTTGACCAATTTGAAACAAGCCAAATAGGGTGACCATCTTTCGGATTGGTGGCCTGGGACAAAAGGAGCGGTCAGTACCCAGTCTTCTACCAGACAGTTTTTTTTCATCATTGAATAAGTTACTGCCAGTCAACACTGGTCGGACATGTGCTGAGGATGTTTTTAGGACTGGTGGCCGGGGATAAAAAGTGTGGTCAGTAGCCAGGCTTCTACTGAACACTTTTTTGTCTACGTTGACCAAGTTGCTGCCGGTCAACATTGGCCGGAAAGGTGCTGAGGACATTTTTAGGACTGGTGGCCGGGGATGAAAAGATTAGTGAGTCCCAGGCCTCTACCGGACACTTTTTTGTCTTCGTTGACCAGGTTGCTGCCAGTCAACATTGACCAGACAGATGCTGAGGATGTTTTTAGGACTGGTGGCCGGGGATGAAAAGAGTAGTGAGTCCCAGGCTTCTACCGGACACTTTTTTGTCTTCGTTGACTAGGTTGCTGCCAGTCAACATTGACCGAACAGGTGCTGAGGATGTTTTTAGGACTGGTGGCCGGGGATGAAAAGAGTAGTGAGTCCCAGGCTTCTACCGGACACTTTTTTTGTCTTCGTTGACCTGGTTGCTGCCAGTCAACATTGACCGGACAGGTGCTGAGGATATTTTTAGGACTGGTGGCCGGGGATGAAAAGAGTAGTGAGTCCCAGGCTTCTACCGGACACTTTTTTGTCTTCGTTGACCAGGTTGCTGCCAGTCAACATTGACCGGACAGGTGCTGAGGATATTTTTAGGACTGGTGGCCGGGGATGAAAAGAGTGATCAGTACTCTGCCTTCTACCGGGCACTTTTTTATCTTCATTGACCAAGTTCATGCCGGTGAACATTGGCCGGATGAGTGCTGGTCACCTTTTTGAGGCGGGTGACCAGGGAGGAAACAAAGACTTGGTGGCCAAGCCCTTCCCGAACATAATTTGGTGATTGGTTGCCAATGGAAAAACTAAGACTCTGTGGCCGGGGACTTAATAGTGATCTTTTGGGGACCTTTGGCCAGCTGCTTTCCAGTGGCCGGGCTGGCCAGGCAGGTGCCAAGCAAAAATCAGGCATTGGCCAGTGTCGGGCCAAAGTTTTGTGCTGCCTGGGAAGACCACCGCCCCGCTCAAGCGTGCGGCTTTGTTAACATGAAACAACCATCGGTACAGTACCCGTGAACGAGAAATCGGTTCGAAGAACGATGTCCTTTCTATCATTTTCTAGCATAGAGTATGACCGAACTTTGAAGGACAAGCAAAAATTGAGCAAAATGGCTGTGCCATTTCACCCAACTGAAAAAAAAGACTTTTTATAATGTCACAGTCAAAAACATAATGTATATTTTTTTTTCTACACTTTATAGGTTTTTAAAGGTCCACTGAAGTGTGTGGTGCCAAAAGGTTTAATTGGCGCAAAAGGTTAAAAAAACGGCTAAAGCTGATGACGGTGCGCGTATTACCGCAACTTAAGGGCATTAAATACCTTAAAAACTTCAATAATTTACTCTTTTATTGATTTATAGCAGTCGACTTCACACTTTGTTTTGGTGCAGGTGTAAGCTAAAAAAAATATTACAGGAGGACACTTAAGACTGCTTAGGTGTAGAAATGCGAAAGCCTTAAAGTCCCAGGGATGAAATGTTTTCGAGTAATGTTTCTACACGTATTAAACTCTGTGACGTTTAGGACTACCTCTAGGACGACCTTTATGACGACATCCTAGAGATCGACATCAAGTACAGCGTCTAGGGCGACCTCTAGGACGAGGTCGAGGACGACGCCACGGTCGACATCTAAGATGACGCCGAGCACGACCTTTCGGACGACGTCTAGTACAACGGTGAGGACGACGTTAAGAACGGCGTCTAGGACGACGTTAAGAACGGCGTCTAGGACGACGTTGAGGATGACGTCCTAGGGTGCGACGTCTAAGACGACTTCTTGGACGACCTCTACGACTACCTCAAGGACGACGCAAAGGACAGCGTCGTCCTTGAGCAGGTTGGAAGCTGGATTGAGCGATGGAGTGGCACGTGCTTGATGACGTATTTTTATGGTTATCTTTCGGGCACAACGACGCCGCCTTTTCGCGTAAAAGGAAAAATAAGGCTTTCGCCCTAATAACCTCAGGTGCCATTGTGCAGTAATCTTAACTAAGTTCTCGTTAATTCTAGCGCACTGATCTCGGCTACCGTATTTGTTTGTGTCTCACTTTACACCCGAAATATATACCCAGAAAGGACTGGTCCAAGGGACCAGCATTCGGAGAGTTAACCGTCGGGACTTTTGTAGAGAATAAAGAAGAAAAAAACATTATTCGTGACTCTTTTGCAGCTCGGCAATTCGAAACTTTCATGGCCGATTGGGGGCGCGCTAGTTTCTCTCAAAATGGCAGTCATCTGGATGATCGTCGTAGAACAGCAGTACGAGGTTGGGTCTGCAACTCGCAAGTAAATCTAATTTTGTGAAATACTAGCAATATAAGAGGTGTGCTTGATTCTCCCACGTCATGAAGAGGTAAGCAAGTACCTTCCTTTAGACGCCAATCATTCAGGAGCTAGGCAAACCGATTCTCACACCGCGCTACCACAATCGCTTAAATGCCGACGACCGCACTCGAGATTCTGCAAGGCAGAAAATCCTCCTCACCATGGGGGAGGAGGAAACGGGCAACGGTGGACGATGTAGAAGAAGGGAGAGGAGGACGCGGGAGAAAAGTGGAAAGCGCGAACTGGTCGTCGGTCTTTAAAGTTGCGAATTAATCAAGTAGAATAAATGCAGGATTTTTGTTTTTTTGAATAGGGTGCTCTCAGTAACGATGTCGGTCTGCTGACCTGCTCGAGCACAGAAGGTGCGTTCACGACAAATAAAAAAATTATCATTTCCTACTGCAGCGGATGTCATGAAGCTGCTAGAAGTTTTTAAAGGACACTATATAAGCCTGCAGAGAGACAACTCGGGCAATTCTATTGAAATTTATCCACGCTTTTCTATCTACTGCGGAGCCACTTTCATGTCAGTGAGTACAACTTATCTTTCAATGAAATTCTAGACTATAAGGCTTAGTTTCTGTGAGTTTTGGGAGCCATCTTTATGAGAACCCGATTGTTTCTTTCTTTGTTTTCAAAGTATAACTTAAGATGCAGAGGACCCGAAAACTCTTCAGTGATCGTCGATTTGCTTTCTTATTTTAGAGAGATTCAACGAATACCCTGCATCGTTGTGATGCACCAATCGCGACCATATCAGTAAATAACCGAAAATATAAATACTTTAGATGTTGGGCTTTATAGTGTGCTGTTTCTTTTCAACTTTGCGAAAATATTATACGCGATTATTATAGGTTGATTGTTTCGGTGCTGATATTGATGTCATCGCTGAGGAAGATGGGCCTCAAGAAGCGAGCAAAGATGCTCGATGTTGCGTCGCGGTTGCGATGGTTGTGTGGATGCTTTACGTGTTAGTTTTGCGTGTACTACAGACACCAGGTATATGGTGTATTGAGTTGCATAAATATTTTATTTATGCACTTGAAAAGGTTCCTCTCAATATTTTCTTTAAAGAAACAAAAAATTGCGTTCTCCAGATAGTACCCAGGAGTTCACGTAATACCAAAGCGCGCATTTTTCATTTTCCAGGACATCATGGAAAAGCCTGTGTACAGAGATGTTGGAGGTTACTACGTCAGCTGGGGTTTTCCCGAAACGAATGTTCGTTCAGCGTTGAACTATGTACCCCGGCCGGGAGATGTGTTCATCGTCGGCTACCCGAAATGCGGGAATACCTGGTTAGAACACATTGTCTACAACATTTTCAACGACCGTGCACCGCCAAAGAGCTTGATTGACTATCTCCAGGAGATGCCTTTTCTGGAGTGGCAAGGTGCGGATGCTGCAACAGGCATGCGAAGACCCGGAAGCATCAAGACCCACATGCCTTTCCACTTGCAGCCGTACTCCAAGGACGCCAAGTACATCTGCATCAGCCGAAATCCGTATGACTGTTGCGTGTCGTTCTACTACCATACCAGGGGAAAACACATATTCAGATTCACCGATGGAACGTTTGACGAGTTCTTCGAAATGTTCCTGGCGGGAAAGGTGGCCTGTGGAGACTACTTCGTTCATCTGATGTCCTGGTACGAACATCGCGATGACCCCAATGTGCTGTTCTTGACCTACGAAGACCTCAAGGTTGACGCTGCGACGTGGGTGATGAAGATCGCGGACTTTCTCGGAGATGACTACGGGAAAAAGCTACGAGCTGATGAAAGGGCCCTCGAAAACATTTTGAGCAAAACAAACTTCGAAGCTATGAAGGAACAGATGAATGCGGCGCACGAAAACCTATTTTGTGAGATGAGTTTGATGCCGGAAGACATAAAGCCCGACTGGGTCAAGCTGTCCATGAATGCCGTTGGCGACTGGGTACCCAAGAAGAACCATAAAAGTTTTGACTTTTTGCGCAAGGGTGCCGTTGGAGACTGGACGACCCATTTCTCCGACGAGCAAGTGAAGCGTCTGAAGGAGCACATTGAGTTGAAGACTCGTGGCAGTAATGTCATGAGCTTATGGAAGACAATTCAGCTGCCGTAAAGAAAGCTGACGGTTGCTTCTTTCTTGATATTAAAACGAAGATAAAATTGAACAGATGACGGGCAAAACTAGAATTTAAGCTATTTAACAAGGCACGGTCGCTCATACTTCACATATAATTAAAAACTAAAAAATGAATGCAGCCTGTCGCATAATAAAGCCGTGATACAACAAATAAATTGATATCATTTGACTTGGTGTCTAACTCTTGTGCTTTTTTTTCGTGGTTTCTTTCTGTGAAGCAGAGGCGTATACCACATACAATTACTCATTGATGTTCGAAGCTCAAACAAAATAAGCGTTAGTTCTTTCCCCATAATGACAGCATAAAAAAAAAAAATTACGAACAGCGTTCACCCCCTCAACTCACAGACAGAATGATCGACCACGTGATCTGGTGCCAATTATTCGTCACCGATGTTCATCATAGCCACGTACTAGGGGTTGGGAGAACACAGGCTAGGTTCTGAGATATACAGACAACGTTAGGAATCGGCTGTCCTCGTTAACTGCAGAGATTCGACACGAGTCTCTGCTCGAATGGTCGCCAAGGCACTGATTGTCACGAGCTTTTGAATATCGTCATCATAGGGTAATCGCCGCGAATGCGATCGCAATGCAATCTACGTCATCAAGTTGCGCGAAGTGAAAGTAAAAGTTTGGTTTTCACATTAATGTCAGCAAGCTTGTTTGAAGTGAAAAACACTCCAACCAAATATCGTTGCACGAGACCTTTAGAGGCTCCGGTGCCACGCGGCTGCCCTTTTCAAATCACTACAACACGGCCTTAAACTTGTGAAAATAAATGTAATATAACATGTCCAAATGTAGCCTTTCTAACATCGACCCTACATTCCTGGGGATTTGGTGAGATAGTCGAAGGTTATTATTGCCACAAAATTATTATTATAAATACGAAAGCACCTAAAAAGTCTGAGAAATATTGCCCATTGACTCTTTTGATACGGCCCTTTTACGAAATTAAATTCTACGAAGTTAAACAAGGTTCAAAATAAAGTTGTTAGATTAATTCTTAACACGTATGGGAAGGCATCAGTCACAGATCTAGTCGAGAGAGCTGGCCTTTCATCGCTGGCGGAAAGAAATCGAGTATGCGTGAATTTGAACCTCAGCGGCGTTATAAAGTTGCGAACTTTTCAAATTCGACTTACAGCAAGGTTCGAAATAATCAAACCTTTCTAACGCGACCTTCCGGAATATCGCGGCATCCTTAGTTCTAACTGTTTGTATTTTGCCCCAAGTTTGTGCAAAGAGTGTTGTTCTGTCTGGTGTGTGCGAATATTCGCCATTTTTGAATAACGAATCGAATATTTCCCTGTTCGATTAGTTAATAGAATCGAATTATAATTTTCAAAAGTTTCGAATACTTTTCGAATAATTTTCGAATGGTTGCCATGGTGTCGCGCAGCGACTTTATGCCCCAGCCGTCCCACAACGTGCCGGCGCGCCCGCCATACGTGGCGCAAGATGGCAATGCATACCCTCTTCTCCCAGAGTCTTCTCCTAGGCAATGATCATCATCATCGGTAGCATCAGTTTCTCTCTATTCGTTCGTTGCTGTTGCTTCCATTTTCGCACGAGGCTGATCGTGCACGCTTCCGGAAAGCGTGTTGTGGAGACGTTTCAGAACCGGTTGTTACGGTGGCGCCGCTCAGTATAAGCAAAGTAGAACTATTTGAAGCGGGAAGTTCTTCGAAGAGAAAGCGTAGCGGAGTGTGGAAGTTCTTCGATCGCTCCTGCCCTGCTTCGTCTAAGTGCCTTGTGTGTGGCGCCATCCTGAAGACCAACAAACACGACGATGCCTTTATTAAATCAAAGGACGCTTCATCCAGGGGCCCGCATGGAGTGTGAAAGAGCAACTGCTGCGACAGAGCACCGTAATGCTCCAAAGTTCAAGGACACGAGTATGATGCCGGCCTTCAAGCCCCGACTGATTGATCAGAGCGTTCGCGCCAGGGCACTAACAAAAAAAAATCGACTGCTTCATCGCAACTGGCTTGCACAGCTACACAGCCGTAGGGGAACCAGCTTTTCTGGAGCTGATGAAATGTGCAGTGCCTGAGTGCAACATTCCTTCTCGGATCCAATAACCTAAGGATCGGTCACCCGTGACTAAATTCTCTAGATGCATAAAGAGGTGAACTGTCTTGTAAGTAGTCTAGGAATCCTAATATTCACTTCAGATAAGAGACCTGGGGAGTCAATTAGGTCGTGAAGGGTTTTAAACTTAAATACCAAATCCGTTTTCTCTCTACGTCGATGTAGGTCAGGTAATCTAACACGTTCCAAAAACGCTTAATAATCCTAAATTTGCTCATCTCTAGCCAAATAGCAATACTTAAAAATTGAGCTGAATTTGTGCTGCACCCGTTCAATTCTCAGCGAATTGGTTTCACAGATTCCGTTCCCAACCACCGACGCATAGTCTAGCTGCGAGCGGCCGATTGAACATTAATGGGTTAAAAATGAAAGACGTTTACACATCTCTGTAATGCGAAGCCGGAGCGCAGCTCTTGAGGAGAAAGAGGGGAGGGTATGCCCATCCTCCTCCTCATCTTTTCTCCTCCTCCACATCCCCTTCTCCTCCTCCCCCTCTTCCTCCTCCTTCCCCCTCCTCTCCTCCTGCTGCTGAATCTGTTCGTGGGTTGTCGCTCCGACGTTCGCGCTAATTTCTACTTTTAAACATGGTGTCGAACCGAAATGTTTATCGGTTTGGTTACGCTTCGGTTTCACGGCTTTCGGTTCAGTTCCGGCTCAGTTATGGGAGCAAAAATAATGGTTCGAACTGGTTTGAACCGCTAAAGTCGGAATATATTTTCCGCATTTTTTTTTGGCAATATGCCCTATTTCAACAGTAAAAGAGTAACTATATAGCTTTTTATGATTCGTAAAATCCACTTTTATATCCAGGCACCAAAACTAAACTGCGTTATTTAATTTCGATGAAACAGTAAAAGAAAAGCTAAATATATATCATATATGACTCGACATTTATTTTTTTTTACCTCAGCCGAATATATTTTACCTGAATCGAAAGGTTGTCAGTCTGGTAGGTCACTTAAAATACCCGTGATTGGTACCACTTTGCGTAGCAGTATTAAAAGTCGAATCCTGTTGTGCCCTTGAACTTAGGAATGAATTAAAGTGCATAAAATCATAAAATGAGCACGTCTTCTTCATATACATCCTGAAATCTACTTACAAATTGCGGTTCACAATATATGTGATGACGACGCAAATGAACTAAAAGCTATATTTGTTTTTCAAAATACCAGGAAAGTTTTATAGTCGGATGCAACCTAAGAACAATCTTTTAGCTCCACCCACAAGCGCATTGCGCCCATCTGAAGTGCCTCCGCCGTCGAGAAAGTAGTTCGCTAGCAACGTTGCTTTTTCTTCCTCCAGGAAACCTGTCTTAAACTACTACAATATTTATTTAATTCATTCAGGACATTTAAATAAGTTAGAATACGTTTTTGTCAACGAAATAGCTGTTTAGTAAAGAAAGAAAGAAATTCATGTCCAATGTACCGTCTTCCCAATTCATTTTCTGTCCAAGATACTGTCTAACATACCGTCTTCCAGCTCTCAGCAGTGCTAAGCCTCGCGCCCGCTTCGAAATTTCTGTTGGCGATAGCGTCGCTGGATTCTCACGTTGTCGCGCAAAAACTGCTGCAAACGCAAGCCGATACCATCAAGATTTCGTGGCGTAACCTCGGGCAGGTAAAACACGGTGCAAAAAAGCATAATAATTGTCACGAGAAACTATAGCATCGCGTTGCTAAGGCCAGCAGCCATGTTGAGCTTTTTTTTTTTTTTCAAAAGGATCGCGATTGGTCCACAGAATCGTGACGTCATGAAAACAATTGGCTGGCGTTTCTCGGCGTAGGATTACATTTTCCTCTGAGAGGCATTTCCGGTTTTTTCTTAGCTTGCAACCGACTATAGTACAAACACTTTCAGTCTGCCTTTTATAGAAACGCTGAACGGCAACCACAATAATCTTGCAGCAAAGAGTGACCTTCGTAGTCAAGTCGGATCTGGCCTAAAATAGCGCGCACCGAAGTGAACATTTTCGGCAGAGCTTGGTGTTCGAAGTTTGCTCTTGACAAGATGCCGGTCAATTCAATTTGCAAATACGCATCACCTTTGCTTTTCTTTATTTGTTCGTAAAATAGAACATAGTATTTCATACTCTACTCGACTTTGCAGCTACTTAATTGGTCACTTTCTGACGGTCTGCGTGCGCAATCGCCATAGTTCCGCCAGGCGCCCCTGTGTACTTTGTTTTCATCAAGCCCACAAACACATAAAATTGTTGCTCATCACATAAACGAGGCAATAACCTACTTCTATATGTTTGAGAAGTTAAATATGCGTCAGTAACACAAAGGTCATTTAAATCAGCTTCAAAATGAAAAAGAACTGTTTTAAGGAGCCCCGCAACGACTTTTTAACTGGTTTTTAATTTGCGCCTGAATCTGAGTGCACTAAACGTAGTAACTTAGCGAAACTTTTCTGTTATCGAATTTCGCTTTATTTTAAAAGTTATAGGCAAATCAAAATTACAAAAACAAGCAAAAAAATAACCTCATTCATGACGTCCCTGGTCCTGGCTTGGGTGGCCGTGAACTAGAGGACGGGTAGTGAGCTCAGCGAGCGCTCATGGCTGCCGCACTCCGTGTCAACGGCTCGAGAAGGCGCCACTAAAGCATGTGCTGGATAGGCTGAATGAAGCGGGCGGCCAGGGCGGCTCGCATTGCATTTGCTGCGGGACTAAACACTAATTCGGTATGACACTTCATTGGCCACAAACGACAGCAAACAAGACCAGTTTAGAACGGGTGCGACTTCGCGCTGCCAAACCGCTCAACGGCCAGACCGCAAGCCAAACCTGCTCGCTGAAGGCCTTCGAAAAGCTCGGAACCGGTCGGATCCTCCAGCCCATACGATCGCAGCGCCGCCGCGTCTATCCGGGACCTTTCTACGCTCGCCGCTTCCCAGTAATGCGGGGTGCACGTCGGTGCCTGATCCCACTACCCCTTTCTAGTGTACGCCGCCTTTTCCACCGCTTGGTAGCGGCCCGGTATGTCGACGGGTCATTTCTTGTGTCCGTACTTTATAAAGTGCGTTTGTTTCTTTCCTGATCTAAAATACTGAACAAAA